GTATAGGTGATCCTTTCGCCTGATGGGGTTCGTCTAGATTTGATCGAACGAGAAAATAAAAATAAAAACCTCGAAACACCGTCGAGTGGACGGAGGCAAAGAAACTCGATTGAAAAGTTTTCGCTCGTGTTACGCTTTAGGCCATCAAGAGTACAGCCGTGAGATAGTTTTCCGCATGACGTAGTTGCAACCTGCGAGAGTTCCGCTCGAATGTGGGCCGGGAACATTCTTGGGAAACTACGGCAAGATTTTCGATAAAACTGTGCATCGTGTCGGAGGTCACGGTGCGACGCATGTCTGACTTTCGAGACTTCTCCAGGCTGCTCAAACATTTTGTAAATTGCAAACAGCCGAGCCGATGTATCGTTGAATGCCGGCGCGACTCTCAGACAAAATTACAGCAACAGATGGTTCAACGATTGGTAACCTTCTTTTCGTGAGCTACTATACACTGTGCAGGATACAAATATTTATATTTTATAAATATTTATGATTATTTATAATTTAACTACACCTGTCTATCCATTTACGCAGAGTGTACGTTTCATGGGGATTCGTTTCACGCTATTGAAAGTCGCATAAATAAGGTCTATCCGTACTAAAGAAAACGAAATATTTTTCGTATATCTATTTTTTTGAAATATATATTTATTTCATATGGCTTAATGAAAAGATAATAATGACATTTTAGAAAACAAAAGAAAATTTCGTTCGGTGTCACTAAATTTCGATCGCGTATAAGCAATACCGCGTAAATAGTGTTATAATTTATAATTATTATTTATGTTATCATAAATCCTGATTTCTTCTTTCCTTAATTATTAAAAAATAACACGATTCTTCGAGAAATTACTAAAGAAATAGATTCAGCAATTGTAAATTAATAGAAGTCTCAATAGATGCACTCTTAGAATTTCTATAGAAAAGTTTCAAAAAGACAATTTGACTGCTCGGTAGTTTTAGTGAGAATACTAACTGTACATGACCGGTCGAATGACAGATTTACAATTTGATTTAAAATTATGCGCTTTATTTTGCCCAATTGAACCTTATCAATTCTTATATTGCCCGATTAATCAATTTTCCAATTTTCTTCTTTCCTTCTATTTCTATTCCCGGTAAGAAAAATCGATCATATAACTTGTTTATTTTTATTTTGTAATCAGTTATTCAACCGGTTACTTTAGAAATAAGTGTGTACAAAGCGCCGGTGCGTTTAATGTTAACATAAAGATAACAATTGGATTACATACAATGACTAGTAGCACGGCACGTTATACCCACGCCATTCCCGAGGGATTAAACAGCTTGGCGTAAAACGTTGTCGCTTAAAATTTAATCTGATTACATATTACAAACGACAATTTAAATGCAATAGTTGATTCAGTTGCAAATTATCATTTATAATTATCAGTTGCTACTAATATCTGTATAATTGAAATTGAACTAATTATTGATTTTCAATTAATAATTAAAAGCAATAATTTGCGATCGAATCCGAAGTCGTATTTTAATCAATAATTAGCGTGTAACCAAATTACCTTTAGTAGTTATCCATTGTATCTTTAAGTAATATTTCTTTCTTTATTTTTTTAATAATAAGGCTAACTGATAGAAATTTTCGATAAACTTGATACGCAGAGATAAACGACAATAGAAGTTTTTTCATTCTCTGTGTGTTATCGACTGCAACAGAGCGAAAATAATCACAGCAGCGCCGAAATGGAATTCAGGCCATTATCCTAGTGATACGCAAATCAATTGGTCGTCAATCGATTGGATAATTCAACCTAGCATGCCAACAACAGGTACAGACATTAGGACCCCTTGTCTGGTGCACTTCATTGAATTTTAAAGTCCACGAAATCGTTTCTTCCGGTCGAAAGCAATTTGCAGCAACTGAAAACCTGCAGATTTTTCGGTTGATTGTACGTTCGAAGTTTTTTTTGGAACGATCGCGGTGCTTTTGAAAATAGGTTGACCTTTAAACGCACCACGATTTATGATTATTGAAAATTCATTGCTCCGAAGTACTGCTGGTCACTCAGACCTTACATCTGTCGTTTTTTCTGCAATGCACGGTACTTATTTGCGTGTTTCTATCAATACCGTCATTATTTATTGAAGCGTGAAGCTTAAAAATAATATAATAATATAATAAAAAATAATAAAGATAAAATTATATGAAGACTATAAAGAAACCGTTAATTTACTGCCTCAAATGACTGTGTACATTCATGAACAAAAATTATTTGCATTGGGTTGTATACTATTAGTTGGACTAATTTTAAATATAGTATTTTATTTCAGTGAAAATTTATATTGTTATACGTGTTGGTATAAACATGTGAAATGTGATAAAATAAAACAGAATGGAAAACATTGAAGGTAATATTATGATGTCAGAATTTTCATCCTTCTAAAGAAAGCTTTGAGGTATAAATTTATTTCAATATAATTATTTAAAAATATTATGGTTGAATAAGCGCTTCTAGTTTATAAATAAACTTTTAATTTAATACAAATGTATGTACACTTTGAATAATACTTATTAACATATAAACTTGATCTACATTATTTCCAGCAACCGACCAATGATATTTCTACTTCAGCATATAAAAGTAGTCACAATAACTAATTTTAATTTGTTATATATTGTTTCTTTTATATAATTTTACCTCACCTTAGAGCTTACGATAAAATTCCAATAATTAGCTGTATTAAATATATTTTTATAAAAAATAAGCGTTCAATAACAGACGATTAAACAAAATTTTTTAAAAGCAGAATGTAAACGCACGTAAACACGAAATGCAGGCCAGAAATCCTCTGTTACGCAAACAAGAAGGCTGCTTAACTATTCAAAAGTTTGGGTTAATGTTTCATTAAAATGGAAAGTATTATCCCCCCTGGGGCCTAATAAGAAATGCAAAGAGGACTGTACCAGCAAGTGCCATGATTGTTAAAAAGTTTCGGTTGTTTCTTTATTAAAAAAAAAACTATATTTTCTGCGACCTACCAAGAAATACACAAAAAAGGAAATGTTAATGTCTAAAGGGAAACATGAAATAATGTTTCCTTATTAGAACAGAAATTTTTTTATGAAAAATTCTATACAGTGCAATTATACATAACATAACGAAGCGAATGTCTTAAGTCGTAATACACATTGATTAGTTTTATAAATATACAATTTCTTCAAAAGGTAAATCAATAACTTTTCGAAAATACTGTTATCTACTATAAGTAAATTTCATTGGTTATTGAAATATAAAATTTGTATTAAACAACTGTATTATTATTTAAAATAATTTTCTGTAATATATAATATAATATTTTATATATTATGTTATATTATATAATATAGGATATAAAGAAGTGTCCACAAAATTATCTCTGACCATGAAAAAAAGGGTCAAAATTTTGTATCGTTGCATTTTATTCTACTCGTCGCGGAAGTAAATATTTTGAAAGGTCCCATGGGCTGAAAACGATTCGTTCGCTTGCAAATTGCTGTTCAGATTCACATGGGAGAGTAAAGGGCCATATCCAGTGTCCTTTTCCGTTACACAATGAATGACTGGGCTGGGCACCGTAGGACTTCGTCCTACGTGAAAATATGAACGACATTGTTTATCGATCGAGTCGTCCATTCAGATCCGTGAATAAATTGCGTCACATTTCGTCATTTTGCGCTGTGGCAGAACGCAGTCATTGCACTCGTAACTTCGATTAATCGATGAGCGTGTATCTAACAAGGACACCTGATGTCCCAGCTCTGTACACATCCATATGAACTTCAGTAATTTGCAAGTAAACGATTATTTTCCGACACATGGTTCCTTTCAGACTATCTTAAGCCCTTTTTCATGGTCAGAGTGAATTTTGTGCTTACGTTCTTTTCGATAGAATCTAAGGTGTAGAGTCACACCGTGACAATCGTGATATCTAATTTGATGACACCCTGCACAGTTGGAGATGTTAGGTGTTTAACGGAATGACTGAGGACAAAAGGTGCCTCTCTAGTTTACAGTTTTATAATTTCGATTGGTTCCGAGTATTCGTATTAACGAATAGCCAACTAGTAATTGAAAGTATTAGGAATTAGGAAACAAAACCAACAGAAAATTAGGTGGGAGAAGATGAAAACTAATCGATAGCCTAGCTATCAAGATCTGCTAGTAGTATAGTAGGTATATACCCCCTATAACGTTATTAAAATATTGCTGAGAAATAATTATAAATATGAGATTCTTCATAAGAAAATAATACAAGCAGATGGAGAAGTTGGACCAGTATCCGAAAAGGAAATTTAACGCTAGATTCGTAAACGTGAAATGCCTATAACACAGAATTATTTAATTGCGTCATATGAGGTTCTATTATAAATACAGAGAGAAGTCGGTAGTTTCTCCTCCGAGTTCCTACCATGAAGGCCTATCTCAGAGGGCCGCCACGGACGTGGGATTGGGATGAGGCCCAATCAGCCTAGGCCGAAGTTACCAGCGTTGTCTCCCGGGGATGACGAATCCCATAGAGGTATCTAGTCTGTTGCTAGCGCCGAGCTCATTTTCCAAAGATTTACTAGCTCTCCAGGCTAGTGTCGAAGCAGGTGAGCGCTGCTCACACACCAGGATTTTCGAGAATCCCTAGTCCAGCATGCGGGCTTCCAACCACTGCCACTACGAAGCCAACGCCAATGTCCGAGACGGCTGAAGCCGTTGGGCACCCAAACCTCGTAGTACTAATTATCACAAATTTATTGGTGGAATCTGTTTAATTTCTTATACAAAAATAAACAATATCTCCCATATCCAGATATCTCGTCCATATCAGGGCTTAGTTGATCCAGCTTGGGTACCTTGGGACCGCCAATCTCATACCGCAATCGCCATACGAGCTCTGAGGGTTCTACTGTACATAAAAACGGGTCACCGTTACTTGCACTGGTCACACGTCACCCATCAATTCTAACAAATTTGGGTATCGTTTGCTTACAGATCAAATGAGTGATGTATGCAAGAAGAAGTTCATACGGGATATCTACAAGAAGATCGACGGTGCCGTTCTCGTCTCGCAGAACGAAAAGGACCTCGACTGCACCATCACTTTCCAAACCCATAGCATCCTTCAACGGTTCATGCTTCGGTTCGATCAGTTGAAACTGGACTGCAACGACCATCTTTACATCTACGATGGCGCACACGCGGTCAGCAGTTATAAGGTAAGTGCAGGACCAGTTCGTTTAAAAGTTCCTGTCGGATGGTTGTTAGAACTTCGTGGATGTCTGTCCACGTGAAACGTAATCCTGTTCTCTGCATTCAAATTGGAATTTGAAGGCTGAATGTAATATTGCCGGTTAGCCGAAAATTTGCATCCTAGGAAAATACAGTTTTCAGAGGGGACATGCCGGGCCGCCGCGCCGCGCCGCGTTGCGGCCCCGAGATGAAACGGAGTTGTGGACGAGTTGCCGTTTCATCACTCGTTCAAGATAAAGCTGCCGCGTTGTATCTTACGCTTCAAGGATCGAGGAATAGTTTCGAAATTATTTGCGGATGAAATTGCAATCCACCGCATAAATTTTACGAGTCTGGCATACCAATTAATGGAAGTTTGTAGTTTTATTACTGATAGCTTTTGTTGATGTTAAAATGAATTCTCTTTTCATTTCGAGTCTTCGAAGTTAAATGGCAAATAATTATACGACTAGAAATTTTTTAAAGCTAAATTCTGGCATGTAAGAGTATGTAAAAATTAAATTTCTTCGAAAGTATTCGGGAAAAGGAATTTGGATAAACTTTTGTTAATTACTTAATGTAAGGGAGAAGGTTTATAGCCTTGATCTTCACATATGCTGTTAAAGACATGATTCTGAGTAACTTTTTCTAATAATTTAATTGGTGGTTTCCTATAGGTTTTAAAATATTTGTTTAACAATTTCGATATTTATTTTAATGACTTTGCAATATGTTTTCAGGAATATAATTCTGAGCTATTTTTCTTTATGTATGTAAATAACCATTTCTTGGTTTTTGCCCACAAGATATAAATATATATTCGGTATTACATATCTAGTCTGTTTGTCAATAGTAAATATAAGAATTGTATTACTTTCGGTTTTCATAGAATTATTCAATTACTTGTCCGTTTTCAACATTTTCCGAAAAAGTTTCGTAAACGTAAATGCGTAACACTTTTATATTTATTATTTAAATTGTTTGATTAAATTTGAAAGTTTGAAAATTTTCACTAATGCTACCTTATGTCAGAACCTCTTGTACCGGTATAAAAGTTCGGTGAAATTTTCAAGAATTTGTGGTTACATAAGCCGGCGAAAAATCAGGGAACAAGAACGAAAGAGGAATTTTCAACGAAAATATTCATCTTCTCATATTCATGCATGAGGTTTGATTCACATGAGATATATAGAACTGATAACAGGGCTTTTCTCAGGCGACATATTGTATTTTCAAATTTGATTGGAATAAAAAGTCAGCTTCAGCAATTGCTAGCCAAAATATTTGCGTTTGAATGAAAGGTAAAGTATATGTAAAACGTGTGTGCGTTGTCGATCCCGTCTTCTTGTGTTCTGATTTTCGATAAAATATATTTAGATAAAATATATTTTCATTAAAAAATGAGAAGGTTCCAAAGAAAAGAAATTTCATATTTTGCCTTGAAAGTATTCTCTTTTGTATTAGTGAAACGTGAATAGATTACTATTCTGTGACTTGTTAATTACCCAATAATTATTTATTTAAATACAAAATGTGCTTTAAAATTCATTAAAATTCATACCATTTTTACGCTACGTGAAGTTCTCATTTATAATCATCATAAATACATTGATGCTCGGGAAAATGTTTAACATCTCTATAAGAATATAGGAATAAAAATGTTGAATAAAATCTGAAAATAGTTTTATATTTCAAGAATGTCTTAAAACCAATGATTTACTACCATAGGAATTTATATTTTTCCAACAATGACATATTATATTATATAGTGACAAATCAAATTTTATCCATTTACTAATTCACTTTATCTTACGCTAGATAAAGCTTGTAGCAGCATTAAAGAAGCGCAAAGGGTAAACGGTGATTTCAATATAACGATACATTGAACATAATTTATAGCTGACTATTTTACAAGAATTGATTTTTCTATTAAAAAAAGCGTTGCATTGAAAAAAGTATTATTCATTTAATCAAAATGAGCAGCATGGATATTTTATTTCTACTAGTAGATTTATTAAACTTCCCCTTACAGTTGCTTTGTTTTAAAATTGTCGGCCTGAAAGGGTTCACTCATGTAAATAACGCTTCTCTAATCACACGGCGATCTTTGCCAGTAATATTGACCGTGGCAGGGAAGCGAATGAAACGGCCGTTGTCCTCGATCAACGGTTCGAAGCATAATTGCCGTCATCGATCAAAAGATGAAGCACTAATTGCAGGAGGAATCGCGTTATTCTTTCATGATTACCACCGAAGACAATAGCGTTACGGTAGGAGGGACCGAGTTTTAGTTGCCAGGACCATTATAATATATTCCGCCATTAGAAATTCTGAACATGGTCAGCACCCAGTAAGGCGCTGGAAACTTGAACCATTAATCAGGATTCGTTTTTTAGTCAGCGATGTATATAATTCCTTCGCACTTTCCTTCAACATTTTTTATTTCCGTTTCACCTCATCGATAATCAAAAGAAAATCAGTTTGCTTTATTAGTTTTTATTTGTCGAAAACAATTATTTTCTATGAATATTTTAACATTTGACAATTGAAAAGGAATATTATGCATCAATCAGTTGCAATTGTAATTTTTAAAATAGATTTTTAATAAATACTTTTCATTTATGAAACAAATCGAAGAGACAGTATGGATTCATTAATAAAGTAATGTTCTATCTCTGAGCTTTATCTTGGTATAAAATTTTTTAATACTATAGTTGTATCTACTCCAATAGTAAACACTGGAAATCAACTTTCAGATGGTTAAAGAAGTAAATGGAATAATTAATCAATTACTCCCATATATAAAATCCCATTAATTCCAAAAATCAAAATTCATGAGATTTTCTCTTAAACAAGTATTTACATCCCCGTATAATTGCATTTTAAATAGTTCAGTACTGTTTACATTAGATGAGGTTGCATTGGAGATTTGGTGAAATAATTAAAATATAAAATTTCAATTTTCTGATAGTGTACTGAAAATATTAGAAAGCCTCATTTTTAAAAATCAATATTTTCGAATCTAGGGACTGCAGAATGTACTGAAATATATTATTGAGTAAAATAACATTAAAATACGAAACCTTATTGTTGTCCTAAGTGTATTAAAATTCTGTAATTAACTTGCGAGGAATTTAACAGATTCATTCGACTCTCAATTCAACTTACAAAAATATCGAAATTGGTTAATTAAAATCAAATTGACTGCAATTAGGAGAAATGGACAGAAATATGTTTTCAATACATACGTACATGAGAAAATCAATAAGAATTTAAATGCAGGAATAATTTCTGTCAACATGGAGAAACTCCGCAAAACCAGATCGAAGAATTTTTCCGATTCGTTTAACTCAGCAGTGAATTACCGTTGAAAATTCGGCTAAAAATACAACCGAGCAGTTTATTCAGGAATGTTTGCGCGTTGTCAAAAGTATACTTGAATGACAATGCTCGTATGTATTGTACTTTTGTAAAATTGGAGTCGACAGAATATATCGGATTTAATAGTAATTTTGATTGAAACAAAATGTTTTTGAACAAAACAGACCATGCAAAAGATATACAGAAATGTGTTAGCTGTTATTTTCTTTCACCTATACGAAGATAAGTGAAAATGATTCATTATTACGGATAGCTACATTGATTGTACGAAAAAGCTATAAGAAAAGAAACACGTAATGGTAAACAAATGTGTTAACGGAGAAATAATTAAAAAACGAATTAGAACTGACTAAAACGTGTATTCCTCAATTTTCTACATCCATTTTATTTCGAACAATCCATTCCATTTTCGAATATGCAATTTTCCTTTTACTTCAATAACGTAATCCAACAGTTACTATATTCATTTGCATCAGAAGACTAAATACAATAAACTCATTGTGTGTTATATCTAAAAAATGTATGATTATAACAAAACTGTTATGTGAAGAAACAAAAATGTCTATTTCACTATTCTCGTACATGTTATTGTTGTGGAGCTTATTAATTCAAAAATTTTAATTTGTAAATAAAGCACATTGTCAGTCTCCGTTCGAATGAAGTATTATGTTCAAATTCTATTTTGAAAGTTGATTGCATCGATTAAAACATTTCATTTTCAAAAATAAACGCTTCATTTACTATTTACTACTTACCACTTACCACTTACCACTTACCACTTACCACTTACCACTTACCACTTACCACTTAC